ACACACACACACACACACACACATATATATATATATATATATATATATATACACACAAGACACGTTAAACTACCATTTGGATTCTCTGGTTTGAAAGACAATTCCACATCAAACTCCATATGGGCATCAGGCAAAGTTGTCATTTTCATGTAAGATGATGGTGACTGTGAAAAGTATGGCACAACTCCTAGAACAAAAAACATAAAATAGAGAGATTAACAATACAATTGTTTACTAACATTATATATTATAACATACTTCTATTAACTCTTGCAGACAAACATCTTTGTCTTAAGAGATGGTAACCATGGTTATTGTCTGAAAAGGCAGTAAACCTGGTTAGTCTTAAGATGTGATAAATTTGGTTATTGTCTTAAGAGCTGGTACAATGTGTTTATTGTGTTATGAAGTGGTAGAATGTGGTTATTATTTTAAGAGGTGTTACAATTTCATTGTTGTTTTAGGTGCTACAATGTTAATTTTTTTAGGAGGCATAACAATGTTGTTATTGTCTTAGGAAGTACAATATGATTGTTTTGAGAACTAAATATGGTCATCTTAGAAAATACAAAAGGGTATTACCTTGTAAAGTGCAACACAATTATAATAAGCTCAGTTACTGCAGATATAATAAGTATGTAGCAGAGTCTGAAGACTAACACATGATCTAAGAGTAAACAATGAACGATTATTTATGTTCCAATTCAACTAATACAAGTGATGGTAACAGGTCTTGAATCTTGAGACTGCAGGCTGTAACACATGATCTAAGAGCAAACAATGAACAATTATTTATGTTCCAATTCAACTAATAGAAGTGATGCTAACAGGTCTTGAATCTTGAGACTGAAGGCTGTAAAACATGATCTAAGAGTAAACAATGAACAATTATTTGTGTTCCAATTCAACTAATGGAAGTTATGGTCACAGGTCTTGAATCTTGAGACTGAAGACTGTAACTGATAGATTACAGCCAATACTTAAACTTACAAAGTAAGGTTTGCATTGGTTTAATATTAATGCATAAGTGTATGAAGGTAAATACTTTTGTAGTTTTCCATGGATAAAGAAAGCAACCAGTTATCAGATCTATGCAACTTTTCTTCATTTGAAAGTTATAAAATTTAATTTGTGACTTCTAAAATCTCCTAAATGAATATCAAATGTTTTTTTGTTTTCACTAAAACTTTATATTTTATCTGTTATTTTCTCTACCCTAACACAATACATATTTGGTCAATTTGACTGAACTCATAACCACCATAAAATTATAAACTATATTGTGAACCTAATTTCATTGACATACAATGATAATAAAATTGTGTAATTCCACTTTGAACATAACTAAAATGTTGTGATATGCACTCTTTGACCTATCTGTTGAAAGAGGGTTAATGTGTTACATAATACTTGAAAAAAAAGAATGCTAAATTGTTAAAAAACTTTATATTATATTGCAACAGCAGACAATCTCCAATACTGATTGTATGTGATGTAAGCTACACTTGTGCTGTTGCATGTCTGCAAGTGTCTTCACAAGTTGCTGATTCCTTGTTTGAGTTCAGTATACGTAGCAGTAACCAGCATCCACTGAAAGAACATTAAAGAAGCTTATACTTTGGACTTTCTTCTACCATGTTAACTTTATATTTTGTATCCTCTGAAGTTGGCTTTCCCGAGCTGACTTTGTAATACAAGCAAGAAAGTCATATCAGCAAGGCAATGTTTTAATCTTAATGAATCTCTGATCAGTATATTCTTCATTTAATTCATTCTTCCTGACAGACACTTTGATTAGAATCTATACTTTGCCTATGGTGATTTTAAGAGTGTTTACCATATTTGGTATGCACACAACATACGTAAATTTTGGTCAGTAGCAGATTTAAACATTTTCACCTTACGACTTACACCTAGTCTGACCATTTATACATTGTGCCTCTAGGAGCACATAAAAACAACACAAAATAAAAGTGAATAATTCAGGACACTAGACGATATAAAACATGAAATAAATACGTTCACTTCTTTTTTATTTTCTTCTACCGACTGTCAACCAAGCCCTCAATGACTTGGAACTGCATATTGCCAACTTATCTCTTGTGTTTGTCGTGTAAGGTCAGAACACCTAGTAAATTTACTTGTTTTATATGTATATACCCATAATATTCCTAAAAGTATTAATGGGATTGTAGGTATAGGAAATGGCTTGCATGTTTCTAGGTTCTCCAGCTATAACCTTGCACTTTTTCTAACACTTGTAAAATATCCGATACACATTTTAAAAGAAAATTCCATCTGGGAGCTTTAAAACTAAGGAGTGCAACTTTCTTTCAGTGTTACATCAACCTAATTGCTGAGATTTATCTCTAACTCCCAGTTGTAACAACTTGGAAGCCACTAGTTGCTCGGGTGGTCATCTCTCTTTTCTTTCACTCCTCATAAACTGCTAGGGAAGGTTCCATGTTTTTCTCCTCCTCCTCCTCCTGTACAACATCAAAGTTAATTGTAATGGTGCCCTAATCAGACTTATTTACATTCTACTCTCTGGTTAAGTCAGCATTACAGAGACTCATCAGTAAGGCACAATTCAAGCTTAACATATTTCTCATGCTTTCACATTCCACATGACTTTCATAATGTAAAATGTGTTCGAAATTGGTAAACACATATCTATAACAAAAGATTTATTGTTATTTGCAATGTTTTGGGCAGAAGCCCTTCATCAGGCAGTTTAAACCATATTACATAGAAAAAAGGCTTAGAATATAAAGTGATTCTCAATTATGTATGTATGTATGTACTGCATGGAGCACATTAACAAAAATATTGTAAGAAGAAACATTGTTGAAGCATGGTTCTATAAACAGTTTTAAAAATGGAAAACAAATATTAAAGTGATAAAAATTGGATTTTATAACATCGTTTAAACTGCCTGATGAAGGGCTTCTGCCTGAAACGTTTCAAATAATAATAAAGTTTTTGTTGTAGATGTGTGTTTTACCAGTTTTGAACACTTTTTTTTCCATTATTTTTCAACGTCTTGCAGTCTTTTCTACTAACTGAATTTCATATACTGATGGATTGCATTGGAGCATTAGAAGATAAAACCTAATCCAATCAAATCTGTGTTTTATGATGTGTTGGTGTATTTCCTCACTTCAACTGATGTTCTTTTACTATCACACATCCTCTTACATATTATGTTGATTTCATCTTTTGTTGATGTAGGATCTTGTGTGCATCAATTAACACTTACAGATATTATTTCACACATTCTGGAAACTCTGTGGAAGACTGGTGATTGCATAAACGATCTACTGGAATCATAACTTCTCTCTTGAACATACTAATGTTTGACATATATCCACTATATTGCTGCTGTATTTTGCAGAAGATACAACTAAGTGTTTTGAAATGAACTATTGAAACTGTTGTGTGTGCATATACACACACACACACTTAATTTTAAAAAATTGTATGTGACAAATCCATTTTTTTAGGCTAACAGTATATTTTTATAAACAAAATGAAGGGATTCCCACTTTAACCATTATGTGATTTGTATATAGATGTATTAAATGGTGTAAAATGTAACTCTGATATCTGAATGAAGCGTGTAGATGACATGGTGTGGAGATATGTTAATAAGGCATTACATACAACTTATGAAATTGAAGAAACTAACAGCTTGCCTTTTCTAGACATATTGCTAAAAACGAATTTACATGGTACATTAGAAAAAATATCCTTTTTATGTTTTTAGGCTCACACACCAGGAAGCACGTCATACTAAGTTTCAAGAAATTACTGCATTTAATACACATGTTCACTGAATCTTGAAGATATGTATTAAACAACAGACTTAAAAAAATTAATTGTTATTAATGAAATATGTAGCAGTTAAAAGAGAATTTAACCTAAATATTGTAAATAGAACAGTTGGAAAATTCACTAAAGATAACACATTTTTAACAGAAAAAGCAGGAATTTAGAAAATTTACTTTAAATGTGGAAGCAGTTAGACTCGACAGCTAAAACGTAATCTAAAATATCATTTAACAGAACATAACGGATATGCAAAAAATGATAAGTTGTCAGCAATAGCAGAGCAGGTACATAAAACACAATATACAGTATTACGGGAACAACTAATATTGGCTCAACCTAAAGGTAATCGAGCCAATAATATTTGTAAATCTTTGGAATTAATATAGTTTTGAAATATTGTGAATTATTAAGTAGAAGTGAAAGTCTGACAAATATCTGTACAAGAATGTGGAGTAACTTCTTCTAAAGTTATGCAGGAATTGTAACCAATATATAGGTTACATAACTTGATTAAAAGTATAGTATTTCATTCTTGATGATGACACCGTAATATGTAAAGTCAACTTTGTTTGGAAGCCACGGATTGGCCTAATTAAAAGTGTTTTTAATTGCATACCCATTTTAACATTGTATAAAAGTGCCAAGAAACAATACTTGTGTTACTACTATTTGCTGATACTTTGAGATACCAACCTTTAATCATACATTTATGAGAAGTAATACCTAAAATTCCACAATTTTTACCTGTCACCACTAAAATTGCCGGAATATCAGCAGTTGCAACATTGTTACGACTTGTACAGACATAAGTTCCTGCATCCTCCGATCCCACATTGTTAAGAGTAATACGTCCATTTGATACTGTAGCATCTCTAGGAAGCACACCTCCCTGCTTGGACCATGTATATCCCACAGGAGGCTCTAAATTTGTATTACAGTCCATCACTACGGTGGAACCAATTGGAGCTGTACGGGACTCCACTGAATTTGGGGAAACAGTGGGAGGAACTATAATTAAAAAATTAAAACCCTATATTATACTTGTAGATGAAATTGGACTCTTCAATGAATATCTGATACCTATAAACCTGAAAAATCATAAACAATACTTCACAGACTTTATTTAGCAAAAGATGACTTATTATATCTAAGTTATTAAACTGGAAAAAAATAATAAATGTTCTGGAAATAATTACTAACATACTTGAATTGCATCTACAACCAACAGTAACAGAAATGTCATACATTAAATATATATTTGTATACATTTTATTCACATTTTGGGGACCATCTTATAAATTGTACAAGAACACAGACCTAAAAATTATAGAGTAAGAAACAGAGAATAAATTATGGTGATGGCAATATGACAATATAAAGGAAGCAAAAGTCTGGGTTAAGCAATAAACCTAATGGAATAAGTTACAAGAACGTGGATTGCATCAGCAAAAGTATATTCAAAAGTGAGAATTATGGAAACAGGTATGATTCAACAAAGGGTGTTGAAATTGTCTTTGCTTTTAAATAACATTTTGGCTTTAGGTAAAGTTGTTAATTGATATAGTATAGTGTACCTTTTCCAATAAGCAACTTTACCTGAAAGACACTAGCCTGAAACATTGTATATCAACTTTATGTTTTAAACAGTTTGGTGAAATGGATTTATCACGTACAACCTGCTGGAAGGTTTGTA